CGCGTATGATGGCTCTGGTAAGGCTAATTTAGGCAAGAGTCTGAATGAGTACCTCAATCCTGGTGTTAACCTGCTGCGACGTCTATCTGCTGTGGTGCTGAACTTTCGTCGAGACGATGTAGCCACACAAGGTTAGAGGCTGGCCTTTACATGGATGATATCTGTATCACCTTCAAGACCAGAGCAGAGGCTGATCAGAACGTGGAGAAGACGGCAGACATGGCTCGTCGTCGCCGGAGTTTTATTTCGGAGAACGTGGACGTAGACAAAGTCAGCTAAGTGGGACGCCGGTCTCCTACAGGCACTTTAGGAGGAGGTGAGAATGTGGTGTCGCGACACGGCATATCGATCCGTGAGATTTCCCCGCGCTGCTCTGACCTCCACGAGTGATCCAACATTCTATGTGTTCTGCGATGCATCTAGGAGAGCGTACTGCTGTGCCGTATGCGATGTAGACGGAAGTAAATCACGTCTTCTGGTGGCAAAGGTTCGACTGGCTCCTATCGACCCCGCCCTTACCACACCTAGGCTAGAGCTGATGGCAGCTGTGGTCGGCTGTCGACTCATGGATTTTGGCAAGCAGGTTCTCAACATGAAGGAGCCACACATCATCTGTTGGACAGATTCCACGGACGTGCTGTACTGACTACAGAGCAAGAAGACGCTGAAGGTGTTTGCGCAGAACAGGATGACCTTCATTCTGCAACTCTCATGTCTTGAACAATGGCAACATGCCAGAGGAGAAGACGACCCAGCTGACCTGGGCACTAGGGGTATGCTACTCTGCACGCTGGATAAATGTGACCTGTGGTAGGGAGGCCTCGCATTCCTTCGACGAGACTCGACATCTGGCGCTCCTTAACCCCGGCTCCTTACCCCTGATCGTCTCAGTCCCAATCCGGAGGCAGGGATGGAGTAGAAGAGGTCTGTCCGTGCTGCAATGCAGTCCACGCATCGTGGGGAGTGTCCTCTGTTCGATGTGAAGGCATGCTCTACCCTTGCCCAGGCGGCAAACAAAGTCGCATGGGTGTACCGCTTCATCACCAACAGCCGCAGACCGAGGTCTGAGCGACTGTCAGAACCACTGAGGCCAGAGGAGAAGAAGAAAGGTCTGCGCTTCCGGACCAGAGCTGCACAGAACCGAGCGTACCCAAGCGAGATTGATACGGTGCGTTCTCCGGAGCTGTTGCATGTGGGTTCGCAGTTCGCCCAACTCCGATCCCAGCTTGACAATTACGGCATCCTAGTAACGACACTGCGCACAGACGAGTATCCGCTGACAATCCTACCAGACCTGGCACATATTACCACTCTGGTTGTGGACGACGCGCATAGACGATGCTTCCATCAAAGCACGCGCGTCACGCTGTCCCTTCTCTCAGCCGAATACATGGTACACAGACGGACTGTCCGACGGGTCGTCGAAACCTGTCCCCGAAGCGTTAGTATAGACTACCGTACCGGTCACCAGAGGGTTCCCTGCCAAGTTTCAGGACTGAACCGTGCTGTCCATTTACCAAAGTCGGCGTGGACTACTTCGGACCGCTGTACGTGGACAGTAGGTCAACGAAGGTGTGGGTTCTGCTCATCAAGTATGCGACAGCACGCGCGATCCACTTTGGACTGGTTCGTTCTCAGGCTACTACTGATCTAATCATTGCTTTGAAACGGTTCTTCGCTCAGCGGCGCATTCCTACCATGATCTTCAGTGACGATGCTCGCACATTTCACGCCTTGCTGGGCCATCTTCCGTCGTCTGTGGTCTAGTGTCCCCCCCCCCCCTCCCGGGGCTGCCCCATGGTGGGACGGATTTTGGGAACGATTAATTGGTGTTACCAAGACAGCTTTACGAGTAACCTTGCACCAGTCTCATCTGAGCTACGATGAGCTGTCTACTACTTTGTACGAGCTCGGCTTCTGCCTTAACTTCAGGCCTCTCGCCCAGGGGGATGGTGAAGATATTCTCACTCCCGCACATCTGTTCTTTGGAGTTACCACCATAGATGGTGTCGTCTGTCCGACGCTAAATGAAACCCCGGTCAGTGGGTCTTGGAGGCAGCGGAAGAGTGCGTGCGACCACCTGATCAAGCGCTGGAGGTCTGAATATTTACAGGTGCTACGGAGCTGGAGCAACTCGCCGACAGGGCGACCCTGCCGTCTGCCTAGCCGGAGAGAAGTGTTGGTCCACGGCGAGGGGCCACGAGGTCGGTGGCCGCTAGCTCGTGTCGTTTCACCACTGCGAGATCCCAACGGGCACCCCCGAGCCGCTGTAATATTCTTGCGTGGCAGGCGCACTCAACGCCCGCTCAGTAAGCTGTACCGCTTGGAGGCGCCACCGGAGTGAAGCGCCGAGCATCTGATGTGTCGTGGAATTCCTCTAGTGTGTGATGGGTTGTTGTCGAGGTTCCTGGCTCTGCACGATGTAATTAACTAAGCGCAATTCTTCCGTTGTTTTGTTACTGTTTTGCTCGTCTGTATAATTTTGTAAGGTTTTCGAAATCAGCGCAATTTCGAGTGAGGAGAATGGTGTGTTAGGAGCATTGTTTTGAGCAGTTGTTCGCCGCGCAGGGAATTTTGGTCGTCTGCGTGGCAATTGCTGTCACTTTTTTTGGTAGCATGGACACCCGAACCAACGTTAAATGGGCGCCGGATTTGAAAATACATCACCTGTCGAGATGCGGACCGGGTTACATGTGTGTGGAGGACGGCTGTGGGTCAGTGCTCAGAATTGAGGCAGTGCAAGTTGCGACAGAGTTAATTTAAGTGACAACGCACGCTTGCCACAGGCTGGTCCGTATTGGCAGTGTGGCCTCGTGTGGCCGAAACGCTGACACTGTGGGCAACGCATAGGGTTGGGCACGTACACCCGAACCTTGACGACAGCATAGCCGACACGGATGTCGGAGGTAGGTCTGGCCGGTCGAATGTCAGAATTGTGTTGTTGGTGGGTATCTGGTTGCCACTCCTCCCAACCGTGATCCGGCGCGCTGCGGTAACTCCAAACACTCTCAACTCCTGGACAATCTCTCCGTCATTGACATCCCGAAGATGATAGCAGTCAATGATGCCTCGAGAAAAGTTTTTGGTTTGGTGTGGTGTTACGGTCATTGACACGTTTGGGTCTCGCTTTTGACCTTCCGTCGTGACGGGGTATACAAATTCAATGACTGCCATAGTCCGTGTCGCGTCGGCACCGTTGGAGAACTCAACCTCTATCGCACCATCTCGCAACATGTCGCAACGGATCACTTCATCAAGCCTATCGCACCCGTTTCGGCACTGGAACGACGAAAGAGATGACAAACTTGTCATCACTTCGAAATACGAGGATGTGTGGGGCAGGTGGACCTGTTTCCACTCCGGGCCTTGAGCTCTTCGCGGTCCGTCCCCTTTCCGGAGGGCGGGTGTTTTTTGGGGGGTTGGAAAAGCCATATGCAGGGTTTTAGTTTAGGCACTGGGGCTCCCCACCCACCATGGAGCCCAGCTGGGGGACAGTCCAACGCTCCGTCGGGAGGTGGTCGCGGCCAGGGCTACCCCGGTGCTATACGGGGCGAACGATGCATCCCATACGGCCAGGTGTAACCGGGGAGACCCGTCTCCGTCCTGCCGTGGTTCAGCGCTGCCGCTCCTTGACCCTTAAAGCCGCTGCGCACGGTCAGGCGCCCCAAGCGGAGATCCGCACGGAACACCTAACCGCAACGCGAGCGGCAAGCCGCGTAGTTGGTCTCGAGCGCTCTCCAGGCATGGGGATGTTAGTCCTCCCGGCGGTCGGTAGATGGCGCCAATCACCACGGCGCGGCGGCCGGGGCCTCTCACCGAGAGCCGCAGGGATCCCACCATGGGGTCAGCACCGCCTCTGTCGCAGGGATCCCATCATGGGGACAGCACCGCCTCTGTCGCAGGGATCCCATCACGGGGTCAGCACCGCCTCTGTCGAATTGCGCTGCGCGGGGGAGTCCGCGACGAGTACGGCGACTCCACCTCAACGCGGCGGGGTCTGCTGGGCTGCTGTCAGCCGGGCGACAACGCGGTCATGCCGCAGTATGCTGAAACCTGAGAATATCAGCACCCTGTCGAGTACTTCAGGCTTGAGCCATGTCTCAGACATTCACAGGATGTCCATGTGGTGCCTCTGCAGGAGGAGGTTGACTTTGTCCCGTCGGCGTGTAAGCGACTGAGCATTGATATGGCCGATATTGACTAGCGCCTCTGGATGGTGTACATTATTAGCACGAGCAGGGCGGCGCCGGTCGGCCACACACACGACCCAAATATGTCCAGGCAGGTCGCAGTTGAGTAATTCATCATGTGCCAAAAAGGCTCACTTCGCGTTAGGTGGTGTATTTCGTGGCTCTTTTGAGACCTATACGACAGTTTGTAATTCTCTTGTGCTATCTAAGAATTCTATCTATTTCACCTCCGATTCTATTTTTTGAAGTTTCTATGCTGGAAGTGGCTCACTTTATGCCACATGCAGGAACGCAGCCAGAGCCTTGGCAAAGGGGGCGGAGGGGGGGGGGGGGGGCACAGGGTCGACAAAGGGACTACTGATGGCGAAAATCACGCCCTTCCCAAAAAACAAGAACCGCGGGATATGCCGATTTGTTAATGATGGGCACGGTTTTTCGCATTAGTAGCATCGTCACCTTGCTTAGGATGCATGATGACGTCCAACAATTACGTTAAACAGAAGTAGAGCATTAAAGCATCCAATAGAACTGTCCGCCGACCTGGCACTCTATCCAGGCATGCTGTACCGTTCCTGCCCGTACCTGGAGACCCACGAGCCTGCACCTCTCGGACAATTCTCTCAGCCAAGATACACCACGACCGTGACGCGTTCGGCCAGCGCCGCGGTTTCTACGCACCTGGGTTAGGCTGCATGCCGCCCTTCCAGCCTCCTCGCCCAACAATCGTCCCACTATGATCATTGTCTGTCTCCGCCACGACCATACCCTGCGCCGCCGCGCGCCGAGCTCGCTCGTTCGCCAAACGCGCCGTATGGGTGAAGCAATACATATGGTTTTATTTAAAATCCAGAATCGGCTCGCGTCGGCAGCCAGCACATTTCACCCCGACATCAGGTCACAAGAGCCCCGCGGCCGTGGAGGCGGGTCGCCACGGACGCAACGCTATCACAACACATGTGAATGGCGGGGACGAGGAACGGAGTACGGTACGCCATGACAACTCGGAACGGAGCATAACGGGGGCGCAGCGCACGGCGGCCGGCCGCCAAAGACGGCCTGTTCGTCACTGCGGCCGCCGCTGAGCGGCAGTCGTGCTGATGAGCTCTGTGCTGGTGCTGCCGGAGAGGGCGCCGTCGTCAGTCTCGGTACACAAGGCGGCGTCGGCGCCGCCGTCACGTCCGCGAGCGTGCGATGGCCGCCTGAACAAGCCGCTCACCAGCCTCGAGCTGTATCGATTCATGGGACTGCGGCGACGCGGTATGCTTTGCAGCGTCTCGCCACGGTCAGCGTGCTGACGAAGCGCACCTAACGGGATGTCAACCCAGAACAAAGCACGTCTGATGACACCGAAGCACTGGGCGCCCCACGTCCGCCACCGATCTCGACCGCTGATCGCACGATAGCTCTTGCAGAAATGGCGGTGAGTCGCGCGATGACACGAGTCATGACCGTACCGATGCGAGAATCGGAGGCCCATATTCGTTTGCGAAGTGGAATGGAGGACAGGAGACGCAAAGCCGAAATCTAAGGCGGCGTGCGGCAAGCCATACATCAAGAAACCAGTCCATCACTGCCATAGCTCTCTGAAGCGGAGACAATAGGCGGGTGCGCGACCGAGGCCGGAAGACGTACCGTCGCTTGTGTCTGGTTGAGGTGGCGGGCGGCGCCACTGACCGGTGGTCGGCGACTAATCCTCCAAATCGGGCAGGTCCCCGTCATCGGAGTCCTCCTCCGGTTCGTCTACACCCGCCTTGTCGTCGCCCCCCATGCCGGCCATGGCGTCCATACCCGGCATACCGGCCATGCCCGGCATACCGGCCATGCCCGGCATACCGGCCATACCCGGCATACCGGCCATACCGCCCACGCCACCGAGGCCGCCCATTTGTTGCATCATCTGCGGACCGGACACGGTAAGTCAGGTCAGGTCAGGCCAAAAGTCAGGTGCCAAAAGGGTTTAAGACGCACTCAGCTGATGAGGTTAAACGGCGTCGCCTGCCTCTCACACAGGCAGGGAGGGCGGGCACCGAAGGGAATAGAACCACGCACCTCTGGTTTCCCAGACGCGCAGCTAACGGCCACGCCATCGATATCACAAGCGCGTGCAGGCTCAGGAGGCCAGGCACGGACACTGAGAGATGGAACCGCGTGTCACACTTAACAGTGGTCTGCTGCCACATGTATGCTTAGCACTGGCCAACAGTTCGCCTTATCGTCAGTATTCCCAGGTCAACCGAGGGACTGTCGCTATCAGTACTCTCACCTACGCGACGGATGACAGCCGGTGCAGCCTGTGTCTATACACTGGCACCATGTACATGGCTATCCCAGAGAGAAAATAAGACGATTTACCCCGAGTGAAACCACCATCAACATGAAAAAAACATCACAAAGCTGATGTGGCGTGCATGTTTTGCCAGCCAGCGCACCGGGACCGAAAACAATACGGTCTAATATAACACAGTACAGACAGTACAGATGGTGCACAGTGCAGACAGAGCAGACAGTACAGACCGCATAGACGGTACAAACAATACAGTGTTACGCTTACCGCCTCGATGTCGGGGTTGTCGCCACCGCCACTACCGCGGGCACCTCCTTCGTCGTCGCTCTCGTCCTCGTCCTTCCACCGGTTGAAGTCTACCTTCAGCCAGTGACACTTCTTGGAGTCCTTGAGCAACCGGGGCCAGTAGGGGCCCTCCTCGGCCTTCATGAGCACGAATTCGACCGCCCGGCCCGACACGAGTTGCTTTGACGTCTGGCGACCGAGGACAGGCGTGAACGCGGGCAGGCGAAAATGGTGCACTTTGCCCATCTCGACACTCATAATTCAACAACAGCGATCTCACAACATAAGAAATAATGAAACAAAAAAAGTGTCACATCGAATCATTGACATCAGCGTCGCAGTTACAACCTAAATCTAGAAGCTGCTACATCGACTTTGCAGTCCCATCCACCCGCAGTGATGGATTTACCTACCTCTGAGTTAACATCTTTGTACAATTCCATGTCTACTTCAAATGTTTTCTTCTCTGGTCCTCCTGTTCCTCTGAAGTGAAGCCTGTTTCCCTCCACTTTAATTTCAGGGTTTTTTGCATCTTCTACATATATTGTGAGAAATATGAGGTGATTCCGCTGTGCCCAGGTGACTGGAGGGTGGATAGGCCTGATGAGGAGAACACAGACATGTTACAAATACCATGCTCTTCAGTATACAGCTTCATGCAAACTACCAATTACCCCTATTTCTGAGAGGGGGCTGAACGATTCACTGAGACTGTCAGAAAGAGAAATCTCTTTTCATCACCTTCCCTATCATATACATCAAAGACAATTATACAATTCCAATGCCATCAAGACTTACTTCAGAAGGGAATTAGCACCCATGGTGGAGGATGCCACACATATCGCAAGGATGGCACTCAATGAAAAATAGATCCCATGTATTGACACAGAACATTTAACTCTTTTCATGTGATACTTCAGATCATGAATGGTGCACAAGTGAATGATGCCAGGATTACAAGAGTGAACACTAGTCACTAATAAGTGACATCAACACAGCTTATTCACCACAGAAATTTACAGTTACACATATGCAGGTTGAATTCTACCATTGTGTTTATCGGTATGACAAAAAAATTTTGCTCATGAACCTTTCCTTTCCTTCAAAAAAAGCCAATTTTTACCAGGGATACTTTTAACATTTGAAGCATTTTAAAATTATTTAATGTTTTGCCCACATGTCTCGAATTTCAAAATACTAGCCTGGATGGTTCTACAATGGAACTTACTGCAATTAGTGTTAGAGACTACGCTTTTAAAACATTCTTTCCAAAGCAAATAATTACATGTGGCAGAGCTTTCCAACAAAAGCCTCTATGCAACAGTTCTTTTAATGCAACAACTTCTAACTAAAAACTAGTCATGATTAAACATCTCACACAAGAACTGAAGTGCAACAAAACTTTAAAATGTCTATGCCACATGATTCCCTTTCATCTTTTAACTTCCAACTTTTAGCAAAAACTATTCTACACAACAATCTTCACTTCCTCTAACACAATAAATGCTAACCACATAAGCTTCTAAATTATATTATCTCCAACACAAGAAGTGTGCATCACAAACATTTTAATTAAAATATTTAACATGCCACATCTGATTCATGCCTCTAATGAATAAAAAGGCTTCTGGGCATTAAAATATTTAACATGCCACATCTGATTCATGCCTCTAATGAATAAAAAGGCTTCTGGGCAGCAACAATGTTCTCCTGGCAAAAAATTCCCCATACCCTCCTGATACATGTGGTATACTTTTTAATAAGTAGTTCACCATTATGAAGAAATAGTTCTGCACAAGTTTACCCTCAGCATGGACATTATGGTTGGCAAGTACACTGCAGCTGTATGCTTACTTCCCATCACATGTAGGTCAATAGGATTACATCTGATTGCAAAACACTGAGGTAAACATCAAGTTGTTTGAATTTGTGTGCATGAAAAACTGCTTCGCACCATCTAGATTTTGTGGTCACCCCGGCAAACCAAAGCAGAAATATTTTTGCTCAGCAAAATATTTTTGAGTAATTAGAAGCTTCAACTGATTACCACTGATAATCACTACTATACTTAAAATGCACAAATAATATGAAGGCATACCAAAATTTAAGATGTTTTCCAAGGTTTTCAGAACTTGATGTCACATAATGGACTGGATGACATCAGTGTTTTCAGTCTAAAAGCAGACAGAAGAGTTTGCAAGCAAAATATCCCAGGCACTCTGGTGTAATCCCCATTCTTCATCCTATTTTTAATGTATCAAAATTTTTAATTTTTATAATTTTAATATAATTTTAATAATTTAATTATTTTTAATGTATTTAAGGTATTTAATAATGTTTTGTTCAGCCTGCTCATTGAAGTCAATTTGCAATGAGCAGTCAACTAGTTAACCCATCCACTTGTTGGTCCTGAGTATCTGTATCTTTCTTCATCCTGAGTTCCAGTTAATTGGTGTTCATGTATGTGCATCAGAGAACCCACATGGGATGCATTTTAGTTGATGAATTCATTGTGCAGGTGCACAAAATGCTTGTTTATGGATTTGTCATGAGGACATTGATATAAATCACTGGCATTATGTCTGGTTACATTGTGTCAAACTATGTATGTTAGATATTCTCATTTGTCCCTAACAGAACTTAAACTTTACTTTCCTGACACATGCACATGTTCATAGCTGTAGGAAAACAGGTTACCATTTCCTCAATTTGTGTTCTCAAGATGCTGTATTCCCACCAACATTAAGCTTTGCAAACAAAATTTTGATGTAGTGTAGGGCACATATTTGAAACACAATACTGTTAGATCTGAAAATCTCTCAAGCTATGTATTCTGTGAAATATAAGGAAGCTCATATAACATATAAGGTACAAAGCTGTTATCAGCAGTATCACTCAAACTGAAACAATTTTGGACTGGCCAATTTCCTTGAGTTTGAATAAAAGCTGGCTCCCCAGCATGTTGTTATGTTCAAGCTTCTTCTACACACACTACCCAAGAAAATTAGCCAGGAGTGCTCCTCCATATATCCCAGGGACACAATGATCTGTATGTCAGCACTAGAAACAAAATCAAGTCATGGCACTCCCAGCTAGGGAGAAGAAACAAACATCAAGAAGTGGGCAAAGAAGTGGTGCAGACCTCGTTGGAATCATGTTATGCAATGGCCAATACAGGCCATACATGCAAAGGCCTATGGTAGCCATAACTAGTCAGCTAATGATGGCCTGCTAGAAACACTCGATAAACTATCATTACATATGCACAGTTATTATTGTAAGTGGAAATTTGAGTGAAGTTTAAGTAAAGGATAATCAAACTAATCCTAACTGTGATGAATTAAATCCATTAACACATTTTGACAGCCATGTCTGATGCATAAGAAACATGACACATATTTCAGTGCCTGTACTCTGTCAACCTGAGTGTCCAGAATTGTAGACACATTCCTCACCAAGTTCAGTGCACAGAGTACCAATTCTTCATGGAGTTGTGATGTTACAAGGGTAGTGTCCTTTAACTATACCCTGAGCACATGTTATATGCAAATGTAAATTCAGCTCAGCCTGGCACCAGACCGCAAGAAATGCACTGCATCAAACATGTCCAGTATAGCAGGCAGTATCAAAGTGACAATTTCAGTATAAGTAGTTCAGTATAAGTAGTTTATAGTATGAGTAGTCTTAGTACATCCATACTCAGAGTATCGCAACATGATCTGGGGTCCATTTGATAAACTGGACCAGAAGCTGCTGGAACGTGTTTAGTAATGAGCTACCCGGCTTGTCTTTGAAGTGAGGTGCCAGTCATACCCCAAGAGGCTCAGACTCCCTCAGTTGCCCTGGCTGTAAGATCGTTGTCATAGGGGGACATGATAAGTGTTTCAAGGTTTCAAGATACCAGCTGTTTCAAGGAGGTATGTGGATGTGGGAAAAGGAGTTCCTGACAGGGCACAACTCACAGGTGATGAGGGGACACCAATGGAAGCTCAGAAAACCTCCAGCTAGGACTCTCATATGTCAAAACTTGTTCACCACACAGGTTGTCAATGATTGGAACGCTCTTCCACATCCAGTTGTGTCGTTGATGTCAGTTGAACAGTTTAAGTCTTAGCTTGATATGCACTGGAATGACATCATGTATAATGTCCCACACAGAATACTTCCATTATTTGAAACTGTTTGGTTACCGGACCAGGACCCTGACGAGACTGAGACCTACAGGCCTAGTGGCCTTTTATAATTCCTTATCACCATAAGGTAAGGTAAGGTAAGTATATCATGGCTCTGAATGCCCTATTCAGTAGACAGCCAACACCATTTTGAGCACAAAGGAAGGAAACAATATAAATTTTAATATTTTAAAGCTATTTTTTGACAAAAATACTTCTCAAATCTTATTTCATGCCAGCAAAGGTGCACACCAAACAAGCTTTAGCACACCAAATGCTTAGTTGGCATATGCAGTGGATGTTTTGCAAACCGGGCCTGATTCACCTGATTTCGATGCACACAGTCTCAGCACACTGATGCCATATATGTATCCAGTGAAATGGATCAACTGTTTGATTGCTCACTTGATTTCAACAAAAGATTGGGCAGTGGACATAACAACAAGATGCAATCATTCCTGTTCTCAAACCCGGTAAAGAACACTCTACATAGTCATAGAGTCCAGGTAAAGAATACTCCTATACTAATACTAGAATACTAGTTAGGTACACTATTCTTACTGCACTTTGATTGTTGAGTGGTGTCAAAAGGATTTATCCTTAACATGTGAAAACAATCTGCCAAAACTTTACCAAAAAATATTAACAGAGGTCTGTGTTGATAAAGAACAGAACACATCATCCTAATGACAGTCCATGAAATCCTGAATAAACAACGCCACAGAATCACACGCAACATCTTGAACAGGTGAGAAGGTATTGTGTTCTGCGCTAAAATTATACAAATTTGGTCACAATTCACTGCGCAGTGTATAACACAACGCATCCACGAAAAGGCAACTACCGCATGGGGGATACAGTCTGCCCCAAATATTCCATGGACTGCCAGCACCACTGAAATACAGCGGAGAACAAACCAAGATGGGTGAAAAACATGATTTCATACGTACTCTGAAGACGCCATATCTGCCGTAACCATATCACGGATATGTCAATCGACAGAAATTCGCCCAAAATGCTGTACTCCCCAATGTCCGAACGTCAAAACCCGCGTGGGACGCGTCTGATGCTTTGAAGCAGGATTGTCCACCATGATATCAACTAAGCCCCTAATTACTGCATGCTGGGTAGCGATACTGTGACGTCATCATGGGACCGAGTCACATGCCATCAATGCTACGGCCGCGTGAAAACACTATTTTTCGGGCTGGTTTGAACATAAATATCATCATAATCCAATTTCTTAAGACCTAGCACACTCAATGAAGCCTTTTCAGCTGGAAAATGGTCTTGGTTTGCGCCAGGGCGGCAAAATTATTGCTGAAATGCGCTACCAGTCTGCCCCCGACAGAGAGATGGGGTAACCCAATCACCCATTCACTAGTGATTTACCCCGGAGAGCTCTAGCCGGAGGTGGTTTGAAACAGTCTGTGTAAACGAGTTCAACATACAACAGCAACAACATAGGGTGGAGATAAGAAACGGCGGCCCAGACGGGCTCGCAGCACGCTGGGACGCGCATTGAGAAGTTAAAATGCACATCCTGTAGCATTAGGAGGGGCGTTGCCG